TTAAGGTGGAAGAGACGAACCTAGATGACGTTCATCGTTCTGGATCTGTGATGGATTATTCGAGACGAAGTCGACGTGATCAGACTGAGACTGAAGCGAGTCACGCACGCTCGAAGAGTGCTGATTACTTGATGGATAGCAAGTGAGCGTTGCGTTTTCATTCCTTCGTTTTATTTCATCACTTACGATTTCGGTTTCACTGACTTGGTCGTTTACTTCCATTCTTGGGAAAATTTCTGGTAAATAGTGATTATTTGAAAGAGAAAAAAAAACAAACATATGCTCTGTCAGAGGAGCCTTCGATGAAGTAGATAATCTTTACAGCAGTTCACGATCTGATGAAAACAAACCAAAAGGAATTAGTCGTTTCATTTCAGCATTTAAAATGGTTGTAATACATGTATTCAAGGAAGAGATATCATTCACTCGTCTTGAAAATTTATAGTTGAGTTTTAAAAAATGAGTTAAGTTACATTATAGCGATGATATTTTGGAAAATGTACGATTGTTGATTTCAGAATGCGTGAAGAGTCGGCTCCACCGGAAAATGAACTGCAAAAATTCGGTGAGAAGACACCGAATGTGTCAGAGCATGAAATGCGATTCCGTAAATCGACGGAGAAGTTGCACGTTCCTGATTGGTATCGTGAGAAGAAGGTCACAAAAGAAACCAATTTAGACGCCTCATTCGATAGGTCTGAGCCACGCTCGACAACAACCTATCAAACAAAGACGAGCGATGTTCACACCTATTCATCGTCGTCCTCATATGCACCACGAGTCGAACGAACTGATCGCTACGAATCCAGCGAGCCGGCGATGCAAACTCTGACCACTGACTTAATACCGTATGGAATGTTCGATAAGTACAAGAATGAAATCGAGGAAATGCGTAGAAGTCGNTTTCATTCGTAATCTTCAGTTGGGTTTTCCCTCGGAATTTCACGAACGGTCACTCTATCAGAATTCAGTATTTCGATTGCATCCTGTATTGCATTGTCCGATTTCGTGACTTCGCGTTATTAATATTTCTGAAAGCTTCAACTGATATTTCTGCTTTTTCACAGTTCCCTATATCGCCCTTCTCAGATTCAAATGTTTTGAATCTGACGAGAACGATATACAGGAATGCAAATATTCTAATCACGAATTTCCATACCGCTCGTATTGCTTGTGCTGATGGTAGTTTTGTTGCTTCAATATTACCCCTCAATTTCTGTCATCCTCTACGCTTTCGTGCATGTGCTGTGCTTTCTTTCCTCTGTGACAAAACCCTAATCGCTGATTTGGTTAAATGACCAAATTCCTGTGCAGGCTACTGCAGTACAGTCAGTGATATATCGAAAAGTAACTGTACAAACGTTCACGCATATTCGAAAGGTATTACCCCCAAATAGCTCCTCATAACCCAACTATATCA